GAACATCACTCAACTAGACCTGCTCCATAAGAGAATGGGAGCAAGTCCATTAAGAGCCCAAAAATAGACATGTTCCATAAATGCTTTGTCTTCACCCTGTAGCTCACAGCAAACCGTCCTCTGACCATGCAGAGCACATCTGTCCCAGTAAGTACTCTGCATGTGTGAGAGACTGTCAAGAGCGGGAGTGAAAGCAAAAGAAATATAATGGTTGAGCAATCAGTGTGATCAGCTTTGCCTAAGGAAAGCTGCTTTAGATGCCTTGTGATGCCTGGCATTAGCCTGATATTATCTGGCACCTGAAGCAGATCCAGTCCAACACCAATTAATCTTCAAGCCAAAATGATCAAATGTTCAACCCTGCAGAGAGACAGAGCCAGTCCTTCCAGTTTAGGATGATTTAAGATCAAAAACCTGTAGTGTTAAAAATAATAATAATCCTCTTCATGCTTGCACGTGCATGAATGCTCAATTCATGTTTTAAACAGGGGAGGGGGGAGTGACTGGGATCTCAGGTAAATATAGACTGAATGCGGTCGCATCCAAAAAACTACAGCAATCAAAGATACACCTACATGTGGCGGTGCCGAGTGAAACAAGGCTCGGGCGAGGAACAAGCCTTTTCACTTAAAAGCTGTGCACTTCAGCAATCACAAAGCCTGGGTACCCGTTGCAAGCGAAAGGATTTGGGCATTTAATGCATTCCTGCCCTTTATTCACGGCACAGACGACTTTATCCAAGACGACACTCCACTTCAACAGTTTAGGGGTTTGGCAGGCCAAGCATATGAAAGACGGGGGTTTCTTTTAAAGCAGAGAGCAGAAGTATAGCGCGCACTGGTGGGGGTGACTGAGCCATGAAAATGTATGCATTTCTGGGTCTTATCGTCAACTCACAGCTGTCTCTCGCTACCCCTCCCTGTTTGTGGAGGGGAGAAAAAAAAAAGTTTCCCTATGCTTCCGTCTTATTTTTACTTACATATCTTTGATTTAACAGTAGGTCTACACTGCTAAATCCTTTGATGTTCATGCACAATCTATTCCTGCGCTGTTAATGAGTGCTGTCTTATATACATAGTAACCAAAATAAGTTTACATTTTGAAATATAAAATTCTTTACTCTGGGGAACAAATGTAATTTAATCATTATTAATTAGTGTATTAATCTTTATTAATCAGTGCCGAATGTTATGTCTGGATTGTCATTTGTTGCGCATTGATAGTCCCCGTGAATAAGGTAATCACGGGTCATGTGACTTTATGGTTTCCAAGTAAACAGCAGCAACACTGAACAAAGAGGATTTAGATAACTGTGGATCAACATTATTCAAGCCAATTAAGCCAGTATTGTGCCTTTGGAAATGGCTACATCAAACACACCGATCATTTACGAAAGCTTCACCCGAGTGTGTCTATTAGCAGCGTAGCTGTGTTTCTTGCAATTGTTATGTGGCTATATTGAGCAAAGCACAGTGTTATTTGTCCCCGGCAGACCGCACAAAGATTTGTCTTTTAAGCACAAAATTCACAGTTTGTCTCTTTGCTGACCTGCAGCAACAGCAATACAGAGAGGCAATTTTGCACAATACAATTTTATTGCTGGAAGATATACACTTAGTCTGAGCAACCCAGACAGCTGAAGCACAATATAAACTTTGGCACAGAACATTTCGGGGCAGAATGAGGCCAAAGGATTTTGTCACCCATCCCTTACATACGGGTTGCTCCAATAATAGGGGGCTGCTCAACATTCTACAAGGACAGGAGAAATGATATGCAACTGCAGCGACTAACAACTTTTTATTGTACGAGAGTACTGAGAAAGGCTCGGAAGAGTACTCATTAAATTTAAAATTTGTGCCAAGAGGTCTCTGTGAATGCTAATGCATCTCAACTGTCAAATTCTAAGTAGCACACAAAAAAAATACAGTATATCTCAATTTTACTTTACAGCGACTTATCTACACAGTTGCTTAACCCTGACATGTGGATATAAGCGCTGACCCCCACAGGCTGAGGGGGGACTAAAAGGCTCTAGACAGAAATGACGGTGCGGTTTGCAGCCAGAGGGAGAGATTTATGTTGTGTGTCAGGGATTTTCCTGAGGCAGGCTGGGTAGAAAGCTCCAGCGTCAGGTCTTTAAGTAGATAGGCCACTAAATAAACGACTGGCATAACAAGGTTTCTGGATTCTTTCCTGCCTGTGCCTGGTTTAAAAAAATAAATAAATAAAAAAAAAAAAGAAAGAGAGAGAGAGAGAAAAAAAGAAACACAGAAAACACATTCACATACACACACTTTTACCCATCACTTGGTTAAAGTGCAAGCCACGAGAGAGTGGAGCTACACTTTCAGCCAAATTAGGGATGGACGAACAACGAAAGAAAAACCTTACATACAGCAACGGTAACAATTTCTGTCTGCGACATAAACTATAGCTGGGAAACAGCAGCAAACATAAATGCTGTGCGATTGTACACACACGTCTATATCTCAGCCAACTCACTCCCTGAAAGCAGCACGTTCTGCTCTCCGATTATCAATAATGAGCAGAAGCTGCCCGAAAACACACACACACGTAGATAATAACTCACACAACATTTAAGCTATGGGCTCACCAATGCTCTGATATCATGCGCACAAACGCACACATAAGCACATATGATACATATAAAAACAAACATCCAGCCGAACATTAAAACACCCACACACGCACAAGCTAATGAGCCTGTGTGTGTTTATAGGCAAGGCTCCCCTGAGACAGTGAACCCACAGAAATAACACTACACACGGAAGGAGGAGGGAAACTGCCTCGGAGAATATCTGCTGAACAAATACAGCAGGAAACAAGAAGGAAATGGTGCTACATCTCTCCTCTAGCTTGCCTTAATAGCCACTGCTTTATATTTAGTCTGGTGACAAAAAGACAGATTAAAAACAGAGATTAGAGAAACACACAGCTGCTCTACATTACGCTGTTCTCCACAGTCTCACGACTCTTGACTGGTGAATTTATTTTATCATGATGACTGAGAGCAGGGGGAAAACTGAGCTGCAAAGTTGTAGTTTGTAACAAAGGTGAGCCTGTTAATATAACGTCATTACTCTTAATAGCTGAGCATTAGGATTATTACAACAAATGTGTGCATGCTTGAAACAGAAAGCAAAAGATTTATGTGCACAGAAAACCGAGTTGGTGGCGAAACTAATCTCAGAAGTCATCAAGTCAGACTAAACTGCACACAAATACGTCAGAACACTGTGACGTCGGGTGTCATGGTTTACCGCCTTCTCTAGTCACCTAAGAAAATATATATGCTCAAAGCGGAGTGTGTAGGTGTCTTCGTGGCAAAAAAAAAAAAAACAGCAATCAGTAAAGCCATTAATCATAACCTGTAGCAAATGCTAGCTTTCCTGAGGCTGTCAGAGTGACTGCATGCAGGAAGGGGGAAGAAGTGCCAGACTGAGTATGGCTTTCTGCGGCTGCTGACACGAACAGTGACGGTATGCTGTAAAAAATGTGTGTCATTGCACATTAGTTTGGTGATTAAACTGCGTAAACAGACAGTGAAGAAGAGGAGAGAGGATCCACAGGAAAGGTGTGGCCAAGGGTGAGGCGATAGAGAAGCAGGAACAGCCTGCAGATCTGCATTTGACTGGCCACAAATTCCTTCTACAGATTGATAATGACTGTAATGTTTGAAAAAATAAATCGTCACATACATAAACAACAAGCTCTACAACAGATGGTATAATAATGAGAGAAAATAAAGAGAGCCTAAAATCCAGAGAACAGTACAAAAAACAAAACAAAAAAAAAAAACAGAAAAAAACAGAAAAAAAGCTCTACAAGGGGTTTAAAACTGCACAAGTATACCTAGGATGCTTGCTGTTATTTTAAAAACAAACAAACACTGGGCAGACCCAATAATCATCAGATTTAGATTTTTTTTTTTTTCCTGTTTACAGCATTTCGAAGACGAATAAAAAAAACAACTATCCATCTCATTTTTAAAAAGCATCATCACTTTAATTTCAGTGACATTTTCTTTTCTTGCAAAGTGCTGTGAACAGTCAAAAAAAGCACCACATTAGCAGCGTGCACATAGTTCTGTGCGTGAACTTTGAAAGACTCGGGGTTGTCTAACAAATCAACAAAATGTCTTTACTGTCTCGCAGCAGCAAACAGCCCTTGTAAAACAAAAGAGGCCATTTGATTAGAGTGACTGCTGTCACTTGATAACTCCCATCAGCAGTGAAAGCTGAACAGGTGCAGATACCCCTGAAAAAGTTAAGACAAATATTCTTTTGTGATCTCACAGCTGGCACCTTTTGTTTTAGTACATATCTCAAATAAAAAAAAGAACAGGATTATTACTAAAAGGTGATTACTAAAGCTATTAAGCTGCAAAGACATTCAAGGTTAATGCCTTTGGGATAGTCTGGAAGAAAAAAAATGTAAAAAAAAAATAAAAATAAGACAAGCAGAAAATTTATTTGCTATCTTTTGCCATTCCACAACATTTTCTTTTTAAAACCTGCCATATTTGTTTACATATGGCACTACATTTTAAAACAAAGTACCAATTTTATGGTAAAAAGAGGAATATGTCTCCAAAACTCCTGTCCTCACATCAGGACCGCCTTTCATCCGCACCAAAATGACATTTTCAGTTGTGTTACATGCAAACAAAGTGTCCAAAGAACAAAGTCATATGACAAATATAACAACAACTGGGATAGAATCAGAATCAGAATGTCTTTACTGTCATTGTTACAGGTACAACGAAATTAAAAATGGTCCCCGATCAGTGCATCATCCCTAACAATATCAAAATATAAATAAAACAATAAAATCAATAAATAAAATACTTAAAGTGCTAATAAGAATAGTATTAGCAAACATTCACATCCATTCCTACAAATATGCTTCAGTCAGCGCATAGATTAATACAAGAGTGGCGTGATGGACATTTTTTTTGTAGCAGTATTCAGATAATTTAAAGGTTTGATTAACCTACAGTAATGATTCAGTGTAAATCAAATAAATAGTGAGCACATTTAAAACCCAATTCTAAACAAAATAGCCCAAACAGGCACCATATGTGGTAGTTTTTTGGGGGGGAAACACGCAAACAGAAATGATAGCATACCGTAGCCTAATAATGAAATAAAATCATTATTTAATGACAAATTTGAAAAAAAAGAAAAAAAAGAAAAGATGTCTGATATCCAATCAATCATATGTGGCCAAAATAACAAGGTGAATAATTTACATGTTTCCCAGATGAGACACTGCAAAGCCCTATCCTCCTCACTTTCCTCAGCTCAAGGCTGAAATTACTGTTTCACACAGTATCTGCAGAGCCATTAGGACTTCAGTCTAAAATTAGAAAAGGGGATCATCACATTTGATGATGTGGAACTGCTTTATGGGGCTGTCTGTTGGTGGGGGGCAAGCTGGCAGCTCAATGAGCCAGAGGTGTGCCAGTTTTGTGCACTCCGTGGGGTCTACCATACAGAGTGAGGCAGGGGAGGGCAGCTCAATACCGAACCATAATGGTTTACTCTTAATAGCTGCCCGCGAGGGGCCAAAGTTCATTACTCCCTGCGTGGCGGGACTTCTGATCGGTCGAAACGTATAAGTGCAATCGCACTCACACATTTACACTTTAGGGAGGCACCCCAAGGGGAGTGAGCAAGGTGGAAAGCTGTGGAAACTGTTTACTTTCCTTCACACACTCACACAGATACAATTCCCTTACAGGAAGCACCGGAGAGCGCGGTACTTCACAGAAAGCTTAAACCTCGTTCTCATTGCTAATTATTCAGCAGTTTTGGGAAAAAAAAAAAAGTTTGGTGCTAATACTCTCCTCAGTTAACCTTTAAAAGTAGCCCAACGTGCTAGCTCAGCTAGAAAAAGAAAAAAAGAAGAAAAAAAAAAAGACAACCTAATGCACACAAATGCAGACTCAGACTGCTTCTAAAATACCAGGCAAAGGCTATTTTACTGCTGCTTTTGCCATCTAAAGAGGGAACGATATGTAGCGTTAAATTGGAAGCCAAAGCAAAAGTCATTTAACAGGCTGGCTTTAAGAGAGAAGCCTCATGAGCTGAAAATGGTTTCACAAATTTGAGAGGAAATACTTTGTCCCCAAAAAAGCAGCGGCACAAGGAGAAAGCGCATCTGCTTCCCTTACATAGACCCTACAAACTATGCTTAGTTATGATGGGAACTGTTAAAACTTGTGGGTTAATTAGTATTAACCCAAGCACACAGAAAAACTAGATTGTTCTTCTGCATCCTGCGGGAACTCATTTCTCCACCTGGCAGACAAAAGACTGACTGTGCTGTGCGGTGACACACAAGAACCCTTCTCTTACTTTGCTTGTTGCCCATTTAACTCAACTTTTAATGTTTCAGTCAATGTAGACGCAAACGGGCATTTCATCCGCCAACGCCCCAGGCATTATGCTTACAAATCAGGACTTACATTTGAGACAGACACACACACACACACACACACACACCTCACAACAATGCAGAGGATGCTATGTAAAGTGAAGCACAGGATGCATTCTTTGAGCTCCACAAGATGCGAGAGTATGAGATAAGGAATGGGAAGAATAACAGGATGAAGAGTCAGGAAGCTTGCTGATGTGGTATGTGGTGTGTGTGTGTGTGTGTGTGTGTGTGTGTGGGTGTGTGTGTGTGTGTGTGTGTGTGTGTGTGTGTGTCTTGGCCCGTTTTGTGTTGACGCTCGCCTTCTGGACGGTGAAAAAAGGAGGTATCCTTTTCCTCTTTCCACAACCTGGAAGGGGCGGGAGGGAGTTCAAGAAAAGTATCATTTCCTGTCAGTGGCCAGATACAACGCTATGCCTCAAAGACGCAACCCAGTGTCTGGCAGAATAACTTTGAGCTTAAAAATACACAACCACTTAGATGGTGAGCCGCCGTTCATTTCATAATATATTTTTGCTGTGTGTGCACACAGCTGCCCCCTTTTGTCACGCAACAATTCAAGGAAAGGTCCAGCTGTCAGAAGAGGAAGTGAGGGGAAGGAAAGGCTCCGACTGTCAATGTGACTGGAGGAGATAACACGCGCTGTGCTTCCTGTCCCCACCCCTGTAACTAAGGAGACCACAGTGCACACAACCAATGGCGAGGATGGAAGGGAGGATTATTTGGATAATTTGTAATACCCCCTACGTCGTCTTTGTGAACCGATCTCTTCCTCAGATGTTTTTCCCCTGACTATACAATTTACCCATGCTTCAACTCTTTCCTACAAACCGATCAGAACCTACAGGAAGCCGACAAAAAGCTGGTTTACCTGAAGGTCGTGCAGTGGAAGATTGGCATATTCAAAGATCATTCCATCACGTAAACGCTGCCAAGTGACGGCACAGAGAAAGTCTCAGACAGATGCACATTTTAACTGTAAACCTTGGGCAAAGCCTAACATCAACTGAGACTTCTGATTTTTGGCAAAGAACAGATGGGAGCAGAAGCCTGCAAGAAGTGCGGCACTGAGAATGTCAAACAGAAACAAAAATGTTTATTTAAAAAGAGGAATTTCACTTCTAAATCACATTGGCACATTTTCCATTTGCCTGTAGTGATTTTTATCTCAAAATACCAGAAGAATATGGACGAAAAAAAACTGAGCAGAAGTCTCTATTTTAAGAAATCATTACTCAAAAATACTAAATTCGCCTAGTAAGCGGTTTCATATAGGAACTTAGTGTAGGAACAGTTTTCTTTCATTAAAAATAAAAAATGAAGTCTGTTTCCTAAAATCACAACCTGGTTATTCAAAAAAACATTTAAACATTATCTGCACTTTCATGTGGAAATGATTTTATTTGTAGCAAACTGCATCCCACGGCAAAAGTGGTATGCACCGAGCTTATATTACAGAGTCGGCAAAATGGATGCCATTATAGACGATGATGACCCTTCTCAATGCATGTAGGTGTGTGCTTCCCTCTGTGGGGTGGGAGGGTTGGCTGGTGAATTTCTGAGTAACCTGGTCATGATTTCAGAAACCGGATGTCTCCAAATATCCAGTGTTATAGGACCCTTATTGAAATAAGTACAGAAATAGACACATTTTCCTTATAATTTTGAATAAAAGATGGAAGACTAAGTATGTTTTATTCATATCCATTTCCATGAAACAATATGGGAGGGGGGGGGCAGTTAAGGGAGGAAAACAAAAAGACAGATCCATCCATAATCTCTTCAGGTGTCCACAGAGCAAACTCAAGCTCAACACTTTCTTAAAGCAAGGCAAGCAAGTCAGCTTTATCTTTTGATCTGGCTCAAAAGATGAAGCCGACATAAAATATTTACAATAAATATTCCGAGGAAAATACAAAATAAAATATGATGCAATTAAATTAAAAATCAGTGCAATAACTCCTGGCTTTATGGATCTTGTCATAACCAGTTACTGGTTCAATAGGTAAGCGCAACCATAACAAATGCAGTCTGCTCTTTCATATAAGCAATACAGACGTTTGAGCACGTATTTTAAACGCCTTTTAATCCACCAAATGAGAACGTTAAGCTTTAAAAATGACAATTAACTTCCCTTACCTCCTCTCTAATGAGTGTCAGACAGTATACAACAAGACAGGAAGACTACTACTATGTATTGTGTACCACAACTACAAGAAACCACTGAAACATTTAGTCAATCCATAAGTTAACAAATGATCTGTAAGGCTGGTGCTTTGCCCTGCTTTTTCCTGCACTCCACATTTTTTACTAAACTCAAAATTTGTGCCAATGCACATTAGTAGTCACCCTGCTATGACAGCTATATTCACCTGCCATTATAGCAATACAAGCTTTAATGAAGCATTTCAATCTAACGCTGAAATTAAGTAAGGTGCGTGCCTATAGTCTGTGTGCAGAAAAAGCTTGGGAAGGATATGAGTTATACATACAGGAAGACAAACAGGTTACATCACAGATTATATGCATGTGTGTGTGTCTGTATGTCAGCTTCTTTTATCCCCAGGCGCTGGGCCTGCTGGGGCTTGTAGCTACCATCTTAAGTTCCAGTCCAACAGCCACTCAGTCGCTGTCCCTGGGTGTGACAACACACAGACATCCCAGCTGCTATTGTGTCTTTGTGCCGGCTCTTCATCAGCTTTGCAGTCTGATGGGCCCTTTTTTTCCTCCAGTATTTAAATCTTACCACTTTAAACGCCTACACTTGTTCGAAACAAATTAGGCATACAAAAACAAATGTGTTAAATATCTGTATAGATATGCATGGTCCTCTGCCAGAACAGGAATTATTCTGGACTAAGTATCCAAGGACGCATTGTGTAAGTGTTAGATAGTCATAACTCGGACTGTTCTTTATAGAGTAGCTGTATGTACTAAACAGGCCTGCCACGATGCAGACACACTTAAAAACTCTCCTGCTATGGGATGTACTTCCAGATTGCTTATCTTGAAGGACAGACAACAACAAAAAATAAATTTCAAAAAAGGAAAGGGCTCCCCCTCACCTACCCTCTCCTCTATCTGTAGATCATAAGAAAAACTGCACTTTAGCTATGCTTCTGTTTGGTCTGGCTGCCCCACAGATCAGCCATTTGATCTGTTTTGTCTGCCAAGTCATGTACCTTTCAGAGTATTTAAACAGAAGGATTTTAAGATTTTGAAGAGCTACAACAACTAGGTCAGAGTGTCAAAAAGGGAGGAGAGGAATATGAAGAAGAAGAAAAAAAAAAGTGGGAAGCGCTGTCGCTGACTCAACTGTCATTAACCAAGCTTCCACAATATTTAAGCCTTTAAACACTGATCTGCCTCAAAGTGCTTGGGTGTGGGGTGGGGTGGGCTTAACAAATCTGCAAGTGCAATGTACATGTGCACAATTACAGCCAGCGGGCGCAGGCATGTTGTTTCCTACCAAACGACGATTGAGCTTGGCAGTGAGTGAGTGGAAAGCTGAGTGCACGCTTGGGTCCTGGGCGCAGACAGTTAGAGCTGGGCTGATGCAAACCGACAGACAACGTTACAGGCCTTTAATGTCACCACTGGTCCTCACATGAAAGAGGCAATGTAGCCCCAAGGCTGGATTTTTGCCACACATGCGAGTACAGAGGGAGGCTGGAGAAGTGAAAACAAATGGAAGCAGAGAGTGGGAGAAGAAAATAAAATAAAAAATCTGGAGAAACAGGAGATGAGAGGGGAGAACAAAAGGCAGAGGGGAAAAAAACAATGATGGGAAGCTGTAGAGTCAGCCTGATAAAATAAATAGGTGAAAAGACAAAACTAGGAAAAATGAGTCACTCCCTGGGGAGAACAGATACCGATTTTTCCCCAACAATGAAAACGTTGCTTTTGCCGAGCAACACGTTATCAAAATGGAAGGCAATGTAACACAAATAGATGAGACGGATGCATGTACATGTTTAAGGCAGAAAGGAAGAAATAGGAGGGGGAAATAAGGGGAAAAAAAACTATGTGTATGTGCATTTTAGAGATGCAGACAGAGCAAGATTTCACATGGTGATGAGGGAGGAAGAGACAGAACCAAGGTCTGGTTCATTCAGAGTGTCAGACGCTCAATAAAAATAAGGTTGCAGGAAGAACTCCCATCACAAACAGCCTAAAGTAGTGTCAGACAAATACTCTCCAGGAAAGCAGAGCAGGGAGCTGAAGAGAGGGGATTAAAGGGGACACAGAGAGAGACAAGTCCATCTCCTAGCAGACTATTCTTCACCTTAAGGTGTCAACAGCAGCTGGCACCTTGGCACCCTGCTCATGCCCACACCTGTCTCTCCTGCTGGGTCTACACACCTTCCATCCCCAGCTGCAATAAATCTTTTCTTCCCTTGGAAGGAAGGCAACTAAAAAAAATATAAAAAATATAAAAAGAAAAAAAAAAAAAAAAAAAAAATTATATATATATATATATATATATATATATATATATATATATATGTATATATATATATATATATATATATATAATATATATATATATATAATATATATAATATATATATATATAATATATATATATATATATATATATATAATATATATATATATATATATATATATATATATATAATATATATATATATATATATATAAAATTATATACAGTGTTGTTTATTTTTATTTAAACAACACATTTTTCTCGTCCAGCAACCACAAGTGCCACAAATACAGGAAAAAAGGACTTAAAAGCCTTTTTCAACCACTACTTTGACAGAGAAAGTGCTTATAGATTTGAAGCTCCTTCAATAAACCACATTAATCATTAAACAGTGACCAAATTCTATTTTTTGGTTTTATTGTGGCAGTTTTACTGTATGTCACAGTTTATTATTTATTAATACTATTTAATTAATAGGCTCATTCTTCTGACAGGCATGTATGGAATATAAAACATTAATTAAACAGAGATAATAAAATAAAAGCATGTGGCCAAACTAATAAATCTGCTCTTCTAACCTCTAAGATTCGAACACAAAATAAATACTAGAGTCAAGCCATAACAGAGTACCTGTTATGGTTTCTGTTAGATGTAATGGCACTTTTTGTTTGCCACTGTTTTTAAACAAAGTCAACATCTGGCTCGTTAGCATTAATGTGTCCACAGCCGAGAGCAGCTTTCAAACAAACTCTGTTTGGACTTATTCTTCCAAACTTTGCAGCACAAAATGATTGTATTGCCAGGAAAAAGCACCTGTTAGCCTCTAGCTGGGTTTCTCCTGGCAAAATGAGCCTTTGGGGGTTACGCTCATAAGCACGATTGGTCCGCTTATAGTTAAGGGAACAAGCGTGTTAACTTACTTAGCAGAAGCCTGTATTGTTTCCTGTTATTTCTGGCCATTTGACAAAATAAAATAAAGCATTTTAATCTTATCCAAATTAAACTACACTTAAATCAAAACAGCTGTCTACTTATTCTTTTTTAAATAAATAATAAAAAAAATAAAAATCACAGTTCTGGTGATTTTCCTTTGGTGGAAGGGTGGGTACCAAGTTCGTTTTTCAATGCAGGAAGCGCATTTATTAACCTAGAGTAACATGTTCATTATGCTGGCCTCATCTGGAGCTGTCTGTACCCCGCCTGCAGTGAACTTTAAGCATGGAGGGAGCCTGTCCAGGAATGAGACAAGACGAGTCTCATTTTGAGACTGAAAACCTTACAAAGAGCTGACCCAGCTCCTTCCTGTTATATTTTTCATCTTCCATCTGTCTTTATCGCTTCTGAATGTAGCAACAGAGTCTCAGACTGCCACTTGGCTAGCTAGCATTATGTAGGTGGTGAAATTTAGCAAATGTGCAGTTTTTGGTGGTACAAATTACAGAACTCATAGTTCAGTAGAATTGGTTACATAATATCAATTGCCTTATACATACAAATTGACATTAATAGACTAAACTCTTTGATCTGCCATGGTGGTCTTTTTTTCTGCTCACCTATATAATGTATGATATTGTGTCAGGAATACCACCAGCAGTATGCAGCAGCTTTATAAAGTGGTACATCCAGGTCACATTATTAACCAAGTGGTAAATACAGAGTGTAAAAAATTAACTGCAATCCTCTGGGCTTTTTTGACAGATAGCACTTGTGTGCATGCTGCTATGTGAACCGGTAGGAATGACCCAGTGTGTGAGTCTGGCCCATTAAAGCACAAAAAGCCATTGTGCATCATTTGCTGAGAGGAGAAATGGGGAGACAGAGGGGTGGCGTGTGGAGCTGAGGGAGGGGTCGGTGACCTTCTTCATAACCAACCAGATGACCTCATTCACAGCACATAGGAATCCTCTGTCTCCCCCCACTGTTCTTTATCACACTCACCATCCTCCCATTGCTCTCGGAAGCCTAACTCGCCTTTTTTGCTTTCAGCGAACACAATAAATTAACTGAGTGGGGACAAGCTCATGCCCTAACCCTTTCATATAGACGACACATTCTTTCCTGCCAGTTATCCATGTTTTTTATGCCAGTCTTTCCCATGTTGCACAAAGTGTGACAGGGACTCTTTGTTTCGCCAATTAAAGCCTAATCATATGAAAACACCTATTGTTTCTGCTGTGTAATCTCCTCCCAACCCATGCACTGATAAGGATAGGCAGACTTAAGCCTCGCTACAAACAGACAAGCAGCAACAAACACTAAACGAACACAACAGGCTCAAAACTGGTTCACTTTCTGTCACAGAACTTAGTTCATGAGCTGCTCCTGTCACCGTGGGCTGCATGTGCTGCACATGGGCATAAATTATGCTAAGCAAACCATGTTTTGTATTACAGCAGAAGACTGCAGGGCAGACAGCCACTGTAAAATACAACTGTGCAACACATGTAATTGGAGTTGGGCCAGACAGTTACTATGTGTGACTGTGTCACTGAGTCAGAGTAAACCCTGTTCAATCAACTGAACCACTGCTGTACAGGTTGAAGGAACAATGACATAAAAATCTACAGAGGACAAAAAAAAAGACTGCTGTTTGTAAAAGAAATGTGTGCACCTCTATCCAAGACAACATAACTCCATCACTACAAACACGAATGAGAACACCAACAACAAGGACAGTACAGGGACTGCTACCTGCAATTAGTGTGACCAGGTGTCCCACTTAATGTATGGCTGCACAGCATTTTTATCCCTCGTCTCCCCGACCCACATATTGAGACAACATACCACACTTGGATTGGTTCAAGCTAACAAAATTCAACACGCGAGTCTCACAAGAAACATGGCTGCCAAAGACATGAGCCGTTTATGGATAAATAAATAGAAAAACTCAGAGATAATTAGCAGAAAGAACAGAAGCTGAAGTAACACTTTTAAACCACTGTAACACTGTGATGACATTAAAACTGTAAGACTATCACTCAGGGGCATTAAAGCAATTTTTAGCTTTTATTTATCCTCGTAGGAAGTTGTAAAATGTGCATTTAAATACAATAAACAACATCTGTTTATGCGCCTGATCCCAAATCTCTAACCTGTCTAAAAATTAAGACCATCTCATGCCACATAAAAATCTTTTCCCCACCACATGTTACAGGTCTGCTACTGGTAACGTGCTGTTTTATTAGATAAGAGGGACAAATGTTGCCTGGTATTAGTAATAGAAACACTTTAAACTTGAATGCCTGCTAAAAAAATGATGCTTCTTTACCAGCATCTTAGCTTGTAAACTAAGAGAGTTCATATGCCTATGTCATCTACGCCAGCGGTCCCCCAACCCCCGGGCCTCGGACCGGTACCGGTCCGTGAGTCGTTTGGTACCGGGCTGCGAGAGTTGAGGCTCAGGTGTGAAATGTATGGTTTTTATCGTTAACTCTGTTTTCCTGGGTCTTTTCACGTGTGTTATGAATAAATCTTCTTTTTTTCGGTACCGGTACTAGTTTTATTTTGTTGTATTTATCCAACACCTTAAAGGCCGGTCCCTGAAAATATTGTCGGGCATAAACCGGTCCGTGGCGCAAAAAAGGTTGGGGACTGCTGCTCTAGAAGACTCATAGGAAGTCTAAAAAAAAGCCTCCTGCATGAATTTGATAGAGGACATCCTCCTTCACTCTGCTGACATGTGTGACAAAACCAGTTTCACAATTCACAGTCTTTAAAACTATCTTTATAACTGGTAAAAGTTAAATATGTCAAAGGCCTCTCCTGTTTAAAAACGAAAGTAATTTAGTACTCATAACACAATATCGAAGCTTTTACCCAGTACTTAGTTACAGCGCATTTCAAGAAAGTCTCATGCTGTGAAATCTACTCTACTTAGGGCTGCACGATTAATCGTTAGAAAATCGCGATCTCGATTCATACTTATGTGCGATCTCATTTCCAAATGACAACGATTTAAAAAAAAAAAAAAAAAAAAACGATTGTACCGCATTTTGATCCGGGACGTACTCTGCATGAAAACAAGCGCTCACTCTTCCTGCTCAACAAATGACAAGGGCGGAGCCTTATACCACGTGATACAGAAGCTGTGCCGTGTGATGCTAAAATTAGCAGGGAAAAAACAACGGAGAGCACGTCAGGGATGACGAGAAAGTGACAGGAGAAAATCCGTCCCGGTCAACCACCCAAACATCAATAACGGGAACCTTATACAGCGCTTCCCTATACACGTCGAACTCCCGCAGGCACAAAGAAATTACGGAGGCTATCACTTATCACCTGACCAAAGATATGGCTCCCATCAACACTGTGCAAAACGAGGGATTTAGGAAAATGATCAACACCCTAGACAAACGCTACACAGTGCCGTCCCGCAACTATTTTTCTATTGTTGCACTACCTGCTCTATACACGCAGTGTCGAGCAACGGTGGAGACGGAATTTCAAGCAGTACAACATTTTGCGGCAACAACAAAACGTGAGACATTTGTTGTTTTTATGTTTATTTATTGTTTTTATGTTCAGTCTCAACTGTTACGAAGTTGATGTGCAGTTAATAAGTGCAATAAATATTTATACTGGAAAAGAAAATCGTGAGAGAATCGTGATCTCAATTCTAAGCCAAAAAAATCGTGATTCTCATTTTATGCAAAATCGTGCAGCCCTACTTAACATTGAGGAGATTTCTACAAGATGAACTCAACTTTTTTGTGGGGGTTTGGGACTTCAAACAACATCCTGAAAATATTTATTATATTTACAATTGTTTGGAACAATGCTGACATTATTTCTGGCACCGGTTTGTTTTTTTTTCTCAGAACTGTCAATTCTGTTCAAAGCAGGACCGGAGAAATCTAAAGGGACAACAACATCTAAAGAACAATGCAGCAAGCGTCTTTACAAGAGATCGACTGCATTCAAGATGAAAAGCCGACTGCCCTGGGTAAAAATACAAACAAAACACGACTCGCAAAATT